GTGTTAGCTTTACAAAATGCTGGTCAAACTGTTTGTTAATGTTATTTAGTAGTGAATTTTTTAAAAAGTGCACATGATTTGTGATACAATGTCTGTACAGTAATTTTACTGACTAATAATCCACGGAGCTTTTATCATAAAGTGTTATTGCAGGAAAAAGTATGAGGTCATTTTATAATTTCGGAATTAGACTAAGATTTTGCAGTTATCTGCAGAAAAACAGAACCCGCTCACAGAACACTAAACAATGCACATCACATTTCAGAAAGGCTCTCCAGTTAAACTTCTGATCTGCATATTATTCAATGGCTACAATAATTCATAACACCAGGTTCAGAAAGAGTCAGCTTTAACTTACAATGGCAAAGGAAGGATGGTCAGGCTTTGGTCCTAAAGCATCAACCTGATAAATGCATTAGATGTATGTATGTTTTAACCCCTTCCTGTGGAGCACAAATCAGCATGGTTATAGGCCCAGAAAACAATAGGAAGTTTCCTAAAATCAGGTATTGATCGTACCAACATTTGATAGCATGGGTAAGTTATTTAACATCAGTTTTGTACCACAGACCAAGCTGCTTCATATTTCTTCAAAGGGAGTCCATTTGAACCCTCCAGTTTTAACCTGCGAAGTGCTTAAGCCATTTAGGTTTCATAGGTCTTGTTTATATTTCTAGTCCTTCCTCAAAATCTGTGCTGATCAACAGCATAGACATCCTTAGCGCCTTCAAAGACAGGTGCACTAACAGTAGCAATCTTCAAGGTCAACTCTCGGTCACAGCAGAATGTAGAAGCCAGCACCTCTAAGGAGTAATCCTTCAAAAGCTCTGCAAAATCCACTAAACCTCTGCACTGCCAACCCCAAGGGGTCACAAATCAGAGCCCAGGCTAAAACAAATGAGATCTGTTTTAAACCTGGATTGCAGATAGAACAGATCAAGGAACTGGTGTGTAACTTGGGAATTTCTAGGATGCCGTGTTTAAAAAGTTAAAGTGTTACATTCACACAATTCATTTAATTGAACCTAGGAGTCCTTCAAGTTCATCCAATGAAATAAAAAAGCAATAAAAATCCAATCCCAAAAGCTAAACACGACTTCAAGGTGGGGTTGGGTGGCTGGAAAAGGGCACATTCTTTCTTGATAAGAAGGACAAGCCATAGAGAGCTGTTAAATCAAACAAAGTCTGTGGCTTTTGCTGACTCTTCCATTAGCAAATTAAAACAATATTGTTTCACTTTCCATGAACCAACTGAAAGTCTGAGTCTTCAAAGCATATGCATGTAATCTGTGGGCAAATACAATTTCCTATTCCAGTTGAAAAAAAATACCCACCCACAAAATAACACTTTCTGCACACCATACCAGCTGTTTACTGCCTGACTCTACTCTTCGTTTAAACCAAAAACAAGACTGTTCCATGTATTTAAATCAGGGAAAGCAGCTCTGTAATCTTCACTGTAGAACTGCTCAATACCTGGAGCTCCCATTGTCTTCTATGTCCATTCGAGCATCTCAGGAAGGGAAACCTAGTCAGAATCAGGCCATAGGATTGAAATACAATTACTTTCCACTCTAGCCAAAAGACCTCACTCTAGATGAAGTATTTTCTTGTAGACACAGATAAAATTTATCTGCACACTTTTCCTGACTTGCTTCTCCAAAACGCCCATGAAAACTGTCTGCTCCAGAAATCTACATGAATCTGCAACCTCTCAAACTCATTTCTTCCGAGATAACTGGTTTACTTGTTACAAGCATAATTATTTGAAAAGTTTACTTTTCCAGTGCAGTGTGTACATTACTGTGTAGTCAAGAGTAAATTGAGGCTATAGCTAAAAATAATTTCCTGTGCCTTCTGTTTGCCTCATCTAAGGGGGAACCTGATGAAATTAGCAGGCAGAGGATTTAAAAACAACAAAACCTGGAAACGCTGCCTTTTGGTTTTGTTTTGGCTTTTTTGTTTTTTACACAATGCATAATTAGCACGTGACAGAATGCTGTAGAGCCCATCAGTATAACCAGATTGAAAAAAAAAGATTAAAAAAAATGCATGGAGAAGGCGGCCATCCAGAGCTGAACACAACAGAAAGGGAAGCAACCTACTCATGGTGAATGGGAAGAGATGACAAGAACAGGCTGCTGGGCTAAAGGGACCCAGGGTTTAAACCAGCCCGGCAATTCCTAGAAACCTCAGACCTTCAAGCTGATCTGTGTAAGAAGTCCCCTATGGCTCATGGGTGACCTCAATTTACATAAACATTTTTCTCCCTTAAAATGTTAAGGTGTTGAAAAAGGGAAACACAGGAACACAGGAAATCTGTAAGGCTTCTTCTGCAGCCTGCACCAGTGCAGGCTAGAGGAGAGCCCACAGTATAAATAATATCTACCACTACTGCAAGCTTGCTGGCCTACAGTTTCCTTTGCTTAAAAATGCTTCCCCCCGCTCATTTCATCATATTAATATTATAAAAGCCTTAGTCCAGGGGTGGGCAAAAAGTGGCCCAGGGGCTGGATGTGGCCCGCCAGGCCATTCTAACCAGCCTGTAGGGCCCCTAAAAAATTTAGAAAATGAATATTAATCTGCCCTGGGCTGCCTGTCATGCAGCCCTCGATGGCTTGCTGAAAGTCAGTAAGCAGTCCTCCATCGAAAATAATTGCCTGCCCCTACCTTAGTCAGTCTGTCCACCTGTAATGCTTTATTTGCACCCTGACTGGTTGTCTTGGCAGCCAATCACAATACTTACTGAAACAAGCAGCGCGCTCTGCACCGACAGAAGCAGGGCCATGACAGCAGGGACTGAGGGGGCGGAGCAGAAGGGCAAGGCCAGCACCGCTGGCCTCACCCCCCCCCTCCCCCCAGTCCCCACTATCATGGTGGTGCTGTCCCTGCTGTCCCCCAGCAGGGCTGGAGCATTGCTGGCCTCACCCCCCCCAAACCCTGCTCCTTGGAGGCAGAGGGGCGAGAAACGGGTCCAGACCCAACGCAGCCTCACAATCGGCGCATCTACACAAGATGCTAATTGCGCAGTCAACTAATTCTACTGCACATTAACACGGCAGGCAAGAATCATGCTAATGCACAGTAGAATTAGTCTACTGTACATTAGGGTCACAAAAAAAGTGTTCATAGTAGCACTGATTACAGCGCATTAAGTTAGTACCTGTTATTACAGGTACTAAACAATGCGCCATAATTACAGCACATTAATGAACGTCTAGATGTGCCCAATGACATGCAAAATAATTCAGTGCAATATAGACTATGGGGGATTACTTTTATTTAAAATTGTTGACTATGAAGAGAGAGGAGTGAAGCAAGTGATTGTTTTTAGAACTTCCTCAGTGAGTTATGCAAGCCTGAAGTAGCCAGTAAATGCAAAGTCAGATTGGAAGAAATTTCATATAAAGGCCTTAATTAATACTAAAGCATATTAGCCAGGCTGTAATATGCTTAACAGGCTGTCCCATGCTAGACAATCTTCTTCTTAACACCATGCCCCCAAAAATATTCTTAGAAAAATCACAGTAAAATTCTAATGAATTTTCCACGATCTTCAAAAAGATGACTGCAGCACACCATGCAGACACTGCATTAAAATAAACACAGAGGACCTGACAAGAAACTCAAAATTCAAATGAATACTTGAGTATTAGTTTTATGAATCAGTCTTGGGTATGAGAGCAATCAGGTTACAGTGATGGTGGTATGAAGCATAACCTACATTTCATGATACAATACAATGGGTTTCCCCAGTTCTGCACCAGAGTAGTGGCATTACACACACACACGCACAAACACTAGCCTGAAGTTTCCTATAATTAGATGAATTAAAATTCAAACAACTTTTAAGCTTGTGCCTCAGGACTAAGGGCTAAAGTCACTGGACTATGATAATTTAAGTAGACAAAAAAATCCACAAGTGTGCAGCATTATTTTGTAACTGCAGAGGATTTTTCAAGGTGTACTATACAAGTACAACTGTGCAAATATTATAAATATACCCACAGAGGAATGTTATAGGCTGTATTATAGAACAGCCACATTTTAAACATATCTCAATACTCTCAGCTGAATCAACGGGAGGAAATGAGTACACCTTTGTACTTTACTTGCTCTACCAGTTCTTATTTAAGAACAGGGTATCTTCAGTTACTGTCTTTGTTCACTATACTGGATCAGAAAGGCCAACTTCTTTGTTCTGTTTCCAAGTCAACACACAATGAATCTTTATTTTGCATGGTCTGTCATACAAACTTCATCTCAAATCTCTTCTTACAGAATAAGCCAATACTACTGCCCTTGGTAAATAACAGCAGGAGAGAACTTAAGTGTTATAAGCAAGTGTTTTTATGCAAAATTCAAACAGCTGGTGTCAGGTAGCAAGAGAGATAAAGTAATGCTCTTATACATGACAAGAAACAGAGGAGCAGCCTCTCATACCAGTGGCCCTCTCCGTGTTTGCAGAGGGATCCAAAAAAGATCTCAGCTGGGGAATCAAAAGGCAGAGGGGAAGTGGAGAGAGAAAGGATGAAATGGAATTGACAAAGTGTCACACCCAATTCTTATACCTAAACTAAACAGTTGCAACGTAGATTATTACACAGTCCAGTCAGTGGAGAATTGGTTTATGGGATGCACCCATAAGAGTTCAGAGGAGGGCCAGCCATCTAGTTAAAGCCCTACAGGAAAAACCTTACAAGGACTGATTGGGGGACCTGAATCTCTTCAGCCGCAAGAGAAGGCTGAGAGGTGATCTTGTGGCTGTCTACAAATTCAACAGCAGGGGGACAGCAGGAAATAGGGGATACGATGTTTACCAGGGCGCCCACTGGAATAACTAGAAACAATGGCCACAAACTGAAGGGGAGCAAATTTAGATTAGACATCAGGAAAAAATTCTTCACTGTGAGGGCTGCCATGGAATACGCTTCCAAGAGAGGTGGTGCTGTTCCCTTCCTTGGAGGTATTTAAGAGGAGACTGGACAAATG